TTAAAACAAAATGAAAAAACCAGATAACTTGTTGAAACAATTAGATGGCAGAAACAGGTAGGCAAGGTATTCAAGCAGGCCGTCCCTAAAGTATAAAAATTGTTAAAAACACAGTCGACCTAGTTTGATTTGATTCATTTCTGCCAGTTATTCAATCAAGCAACTCAACCATTTATACCCTGAACAGCATGGTAACCGCTGGACAGACAAGGATATTTGATGTTTACTAGGACAGAAGAAAAAATGTTTGAATCTCGCCATTGACTTTGGCGCAGCAAATATGATGGGATGCTAAAGGTTCGACGAACTGAGTGTATAAGTACACTCCGAGTAGCTCAGAGTAAATATGATAAGCCGTTGGCTCAGTCAGTAATAAATTAGCCGAAGAGACTATTTTTGTACATAAATTATAGAACGAGATAGCACCAATGGATTTCAAAATTAATTAAAAGGAGTGTATCTCTAATGATAAAAGAAGAATAGAAGAGCCTGAGCTCTGAATTTTGGGAAAAATTTGACCCATTTTGAAGATATTCCGGGGGAGCCGCTATGGTAAAATTTGGAGGAATGGCGCCAAAACCCCAAAATTTCCCTTTAATCTTGGTGAAGGTTATTTGACTTCGGGGATTTCCCTGAAATTTAAACATAATTTACCCGAAATTACCCGAAATCTACCCAAATTCCTTCAAAAATTCCCCAAACTTGGCAGATTGTAAAAGCAGAGGCCATGACTAACTATTTTGACACAGTTTTTACTCAGGAGTCTCTTTTAGACAAAACTAAATACAAAGTCTCAAAATCGCCTGCAAATTGTGGACTTTGATCGAGATGACGTACTTAAGGCACTTAGCACTTTAGACACGGAAAATCAACAGGACCAGACGCGATGCATCCCAAAATCCTGAGAAAATGCATGGTATATTGCTGCCCTATTGACTACGGTATTCAATATATCAATTGATCAGATGTCATCTATGGATTGAAAAGATGCAGTCGACACATTAGTTCACTATAAAGGGTCAAGAAAACACCCATCAAACTGCAGAATTACCTAAATCACCGGTCGTAGTAAAAACACTGGAAGAATATTAGAAAAGTCCATAAAGATATTAGTGGAAACCAACAACTTGTTGAACAGCGAAAATCATGATTTATTCCCACCACTAGGGAGAAGTGACCATGGAGTCATATTATTAAAATTCATGGCTGAGATTGCCTGTCGAACAGTTGCGCCGGCCCGTCCTAATATATGGGAGGCAGATATGGAGGCAATTAACTCCGCAGCATCGGCTGAAAACTGGGAAATTAACTCAAGGGCATCAGCACAAGAGGCATGGACTCACTTCAGGCAGTTATACAAAAGGGTAACTCAACCATACACACCATGGACAGTTCCAAAGAAGAAGCACGGCCATCCCTGGATAGGCCGGGATATTCGACGTTTACTAGGACAAATGAGGAAATGTTGGAATGTTGCCATCCGCCTTGGCACAGCAGATACGATGGAACGCTACAGATCGGTAAGAAACACGTGTATAACTAAAATTCGGGAAGCTCAAAGAAAATATGAAATGCAGTTGGCACAATTTGCACTTAAGCAGCCCAAGAGAATATTATCGTACATTAACTACAAAATAAGGATGTATCATTGGATTCCCAACCTAATTAAAGAAGGTAGTGAATCTGAAATGATAGAGGAAGATCAGGAAAAAGCAGAGGCTATGGCTGACTATTTTGGGGAAGTTTTCATTCAGGAACCTCTTCTAGACAAAGATCTAAACCAAAATAAAGAGTCAACAAACCACCTGCTCACTTTGGACTTCGATCAAGACGATGTGCTTAAGGCTCTTAACACCTTAGACATGGAAAAGTCAACAGGACCAGATGAACAACAACCCGAAATCTTGAGACATATTGCACAATATATCGCGGCTCCACTGACTGTGATATTCAATATGCCACTTGACCAAGGTGTGTTACCTATGAACTGGAAGGACGCAATCGCCACTCCCATACATAAAACAGGACCAAGACAACTTCCATCGAACTACAGACCAGTAAGCCTCACCAGTGTTGTAGTTAAAATATTGGAAAGAATAGTCAAACGGACCATAATGGCATTTATGGAAAACCAATAACCTGCTAAACATAGAACATGGTTTTAGAAAGGGTCAATCTTGTACAACGATCCTCCCTATAGCAAGGAAATTTCGGATAAAGGTGCTAGACAAGGGAAACTCAGTGAATGTTGTCTACATAGGCTTCAGTAAGGCTTTCGACAAGGTGCTAACTAATAGACTACAAGTGAATTTGGAAAACCTTGGTATTGCTGAACTTCTTAAAATGGCTTAGGGATTTACTAGTAGGTCGTAGACAGAAATGAATAATAAATTAGAAGTGCTCCATCTAGAGACCAGTACTTAGTGGAGTACCTCAAGGTTCCGTCCTAAGCCCTTTACTTTTTATGCTGTGCAAACTAACTCCCAAGTATAGTACAGTCCCCAATGTTATTATACGCTGACGATGTAAAAATCGGGCGAGTAATAACTGGAGATGCAGACGCATGTGCTTTTCAGGCAGACTTAAATAATATGATTCACTGGTCTAAAAAGTGGCTGATGCCTATCAACGCGGAAAAGTGCATCTACATGCACCTTGGGGATACAAAGGTTAATGGGTACAACATAGGAAAAGTGCCTGTACCCATGGTCCGGTCTAACAATGATCTTGGAGTGAGAGTGAGTCATGATCTTAAGACCACAGCCCACTGCCTGGAGGTTGCAGCTAAGAGGTTTAGAACCCTGTAGGCGTTAAGACGGACATTCACCAAGTTAGATACTACCACGTTCATCACAGTATACACAACCTTAATGAGAACTAAGCTTGAGAACTGCGTTCAGGCTGCAAACTGCTTATCAAAAGGTGACTCGGATATCCTGGGAAAAGTAAAAAAGGTATCTACTCGTGCAATTTCAGAACTTTTGGGCTTAGAATACAAAGAGCGGCTTGAAAAACTAGACCTTTATCTGCATAAATATAAATAGCCAGATAGCAATTACCGTACACTAAAGTATGACATCTTAAGATTGCCTGACTACCAGTATTATGCGTTCTATAAGTTGATACTTAATTTATTAATGAAATTTCGGCAACTGAAAATTGATTTGACTACTTTGCCTTTGACGTCGATCGTTGATCAACAAACGGTCGCTAACTTTCTTTTGCAAATATGGTCTACCACATATAATTTCCGTGTTAGCCTAGAAAAGTGATCCATTCATACCAGATTATACTCAAATATATCATAACTAAGGAGTGACTTACCACGAAACCACTCAGATTAACGCTTAATTTCCTCTAGGCAAGTAAGATTTGAAGAGTTCGCCAGTTTTGCTGCCTAATTCCTACTGGTGGGAAGTCGCTTGTACTAGCTCGGCCGGCAGCGAATTCCAGAATTCGACAACCCTTAAGAAGTAGAAGTTTTGATTACAGTCCGTTCTGCTATGTTGTATCTCTGATTTCTAAGTGTTACCCCTTAAATTTGTATTGGGACTAAGCTTAAGTAGGTGTTTAATGGGATGTTCAGAAGTGTTAAGGATACTGTAAGCCATCAGATGGTCAATTCTAAGACGCCTATACTCTAATGAGCAAAGGTCAAGTGATTGGAAGCGCTCTTCACAAGGTTTGAATTTGAGTCCTCGAACTGATTTCGTGGCTCACCGGTAGTACGCTCCAGAGTGTCCTTGCCCTTTTGGAGTGAGGGAGGAAATACTATGTTTCCGTACTCTAAATAGGGACGAATAAAACAGTTAAAGATTGTGTTGAAAATTTTTCCGTCAAACCGATCAAAAATGCGCTTCAATGTTACCAGTGCAAGGTTCGCTCGAAAGGCATTTTTGTCACAGTTACCGTAAGACTCAAAATCGTGGGGCGCCAGGACTCCTAAATCTTTTTCGACTCGGGATTCTACTAGAGAGGAGTTTCCTAAGTTGTAACTGTAGTCTGCGACATGTCGCAGATGGACTACTTTACACTTTGAAGTGCTAAAGGTAAGTCCGTTATCGTCTGCCCATCTTTGAAGTCGATTCAAATCCTCTTGAAGTGCCTGTATGTCGTCTTGATTGCGTATCTCTCTCCAGCGTTTCACATCATCGGCAAAAAGTAATAAGTCTGACGTTACCTGTTGAGGAAGATCATTTATGTAGATCAAGAAGAGAAGAGGTCCTAGTACTGAGCCCTGAGGGACCCCACTAGGACACTCCATAGCCTGAGATAAAGTAAAATTAACCCTGACCTTGAAATGTCGATTGTTTAGGTATGAAGCGAGCCAATCGATTAGAGGTGGTCTGATACCCTATCGTTTGAACTTATTGATAAGACATGTATGGTTAACCTTATCAAAAGCCTTTGAAAAAATGGGTAGATGATATCAACCTTCCTCTTGGGATCAAGGATGCTTGTCCGTCTGTCCACCGCAGTCAGCAGGTTGGTTATACAAGAGTAACCCTTCCCGAAACCATGCTGTTGGGGTGAGAGGAAATTTAAGTACAGTAAATAGTCATTTATACCATCGCATATCAGGAACTCCATAATTTTTGAAGGTATTGATAGAAGAACCACCTTTCGGTAACTTGAAGGTTCGTAGTGTCGACCTCCTTCCCGATTTTCGGTGGTTCACCTCGACTTAGCGAGTGTGAGAACATCACGCTAAGCGGTGTTGACATGATTGGGGCTGCTTCCCTCAGTGTAGCAGAATGAAACATATAAGGGCCAGGAAAAGTGTCTTTTCTTAGGTGCTGCAGTTTCAGAACACCAAGTCAGCGCTCAGATTCGCTTCGGAACGTCCTGTGCAGTTGCGGATGAAGCTGTCATCATCCGTACCTTCAGTTGATTTATTCAGGAGATGACTAGACACTCATAGAAGCATACTAGAAAAGGAATAACATAGGCTGTAGGCTTTCTGTCCTTACTACGCAAATCTGAATACGAATCCACCAATAGGAATTAGGCAGCAAAACTGGCGAACTCTTCAAATCTTACTTGCCTAGAGGAAATTAAGCGTTAATCTGAGTGGTTTCGTGGTAAGTCACTCCTTAGTTATGATATATTTGAGTATAATCTGGTATGAATGGATCACTTTTCTAGGCTAACACGGAAATTATATGTGGTAGACCATATTTGCAAAAGAAAGTTAGCGACCGTTTGTTGATCAACGATCGACGTCAAAGGCAAAGTAGTCAAATCAATTTTCAGTTGCCGAAATTTCATTAATAAATTAAGTATCAACTTATAGAACGCATAATACTGGTAGTCAGGCAATCTTAAGATGTCATGCTTTAGTGTACGGTAATTGCTATCTGGCTATTTATATTTATGCAGATAAAGGTCTAGTTTTTCAAGCCGCTCTTTGTATTCTAAGCCCAAAAGTTCTGAAATTGCACGAGTAGATACCTTTTTTACTTTTCCCAGGATATCCGAGTCACCTTTTGATAAGCAGTTTGCAGCCTGAACGCAGTTCTCAAGCTTAGTTCTCATTAAGGTTGTGTATACTGTGATGAACGTGGTAGTATCTAACTTGGTGAATGTCCGTCTTAACGCCTACAGGGTTCTAAACCTCTTAGCTGCAACCTCCAGGCAGTGGGCTGTGGTCTTAAGATCATGACTCACTCTCACTTCAAGATCATTGTTAGACCGGACCATGGGTACAGGCACTTTTCCTATGTTGTACCCATTAACCTTTGTATCCCCAAGGTGCATGTAGATGCACTTTTCCGCGTTGATAGGCATCAGCCACTTTTTAGACCAGTGAATCATATTATTTAAGTCTGCCTGAAAAGCACATGCGTCTGCATCTCCAGTTATTACTCGCCCGATTTTTACATCGTCAGCGTATAATAACATTGGGGACTGTACTATACTTGGGAGTTAGTTTGCACAGCATAAAAAGTAAAGGGCTTAGGACGGAACCTTGAGGTACTCCACTAAGTACTGGTCTCTAGATGGAGCACTTCTAATTTATTATTCATTTCTGTCTACGACCTACTAGTAAATCCCTAAGCCATTTTAAGAAGTTCAGCAATACCAAGGTTTTCCAAATTCACTTGTAGTCTATTAGTTAGCACCTTGTCGAAAGCCTTACTGAAGCCTATGTAGACAACATTCACTGAGTTTCCCTTGTCTAGCACCTTTATCCGAAATTTCCTTGCTATAGGGAGGATCGTTGTACAAGATTGACCCTTTCTAAAACCATGTTCTATGTTTAGCAGGTTATTGGTTTTCCATAAATGCCATTATGGTCCGTTTGACTATTCTTTCCAATATTTTAACTACAACACTGGTGAGGCTTACTGGTCTGTAGTTCGATGGAAGTTGTCTTGGTCCTGTTTTATGTATGGGAGTGGCGATTGCGTCCTTCCAGTTCATAGGTAACACACCTTGGTCAAGTGGCATATTGAATATCACAGTCAGTGGAGCCGCGATATATTGTGCAATATGTCTCAAGATTTCGGGTTGTTGTTCATCTGGTCCTGTTGACTTTTCCATGTCTAAGGTGTTAAGAGCCTTAAGCACATCGTCTTGATCGAAGTCCAAAGTGAGCAGGTGGTTTGTTGACTCTTTATTTTGGTTTAGATCTTTGTCTAGAAGAGGTTCCTGAATGAAAACTTCCCCAAAATAGTCAGCCATAGCCTCTGCTTTTTCCTGATCTTCCTCTATCATTTCAGATTCACTACCTTCTTTAATTAGGTTGGGAATCCAATGATACATCCTTATTTTGTAGTTAATGTACGATAATATTCTCTTGGGCTGCTTAAGTGCAAATTGTGCCAACTGCATTTCATATTTTCTTTGAGCTTCCCGAATTTTAGTTATACACGTGTTTCTTACCGATCTGTAGCGTTCCATCGTATCTGCTGTGCCAAGGCGGATGGCAACATTCCAACATTTCCTCATTTGTCCTAGTAAACGTCGAATATCCCGGCCTATCCAGGGATGGCCGTGCTTCTTCTTTGGAACTGTCCATGGTGTGTATGGTTGAGTTACCCTTTTGTATAACTGCCTGAAGTGAGTCCATGCCTCTTGTGCTGATGCCCTTGAGTTAATTTCCCAGTTTTCAGCCGATGCTGCGGAGTTAATTGCCTCCATATCTGCCTCCCATATATTAGGACGGGCCGGCGCAACTGTTCGACAGGCAATCTCAGCCATGAATTTTAATAATATGACTGCATGGTCACTTCTCCCTAGTGGTGGGAGGAAAGTTATTTGACCAACGTCATCACCGTGTGTGAAAAATGAAGTTAAAAGAGAAGAGTTTCTGAAGTCATATCTTGTGGGATTACTAATGTGTTGGAATAAAGCTAATCCAATCGAGGTTTCTAACAGTTTGCAATCGAACGACGTTATCGATGACCCTGCCTCTAAGTTAACTTAGTTTATATATGGTGCATTAAAGTTGCTTACTACAAGGCTTTTACCCTTGTTACACCAGGACTTAAGTTTACATAGGAGAAAATCATCTACTACACATTCTGGACTGCGATATACTACAACTACTTCAATATCTTGCCGTCTATATTTCAGCTTGCATCGCACCAGTTCACATGTCACTGAAACATGTGCCACTGTCTCAGCTGCTCTTATGGTTAGGGTACTTTTCGTGTATAGTATAACCCCGCCTCCCCTATGATTTGATCTATCAGCCCTACTGGATAAAAAACCAGTCAACTGAATTTCATTATCTAATACTTCTGACGTTAACCAAGTTTCTGAGACAGCAATAACTTCCGGATTCAGACCTGATGTCACTTAGTACAACAGTTATTGCTCTGCTACGACAGGGGATTTAACAGTGTTATCAACATATTTACCCCTTATCAATCGAACTTACTTCATCGTAATCCGGTCTATCATGTGTTTGCACGGATATAAAAAGGAAAATCTGGGATAAACCTTAGTCAGCATAAGTCTATATAACGTTCTGTTTACCAATATTCTTTCGTCTAGGTCATATATATTTCACTCTCAGAAGACTATCAGATTAGGGAATAAATTCCGCTAGTTTTTACTACTACTTGGTTCATAGAAGCATGTCGATAATCCAAGACAGTAAATTAAGATAGACATGGTTCATACAATTACTGAGCACTAGTAGGGAATTAATTCATTTACCAAGTACAAATTTATGTGCTCATTTACGGGTCGCATTAGGTGCACATCAAAAATGCCTGTCGACTCAATGTTCAGTTCCCAACTCACAAATAAATAAGTCACAGAGAACTGAACCACAGAATGTCATTGTCTTCAGACTAGTAAATTCTGGTCTTCCTCCTAACTGTCAGGTTTGGCTTGCTACAGTTGTCTAACAAACACGTTAGGTGGCAAGTTTGCTTGGGTTTGCTTAGGTTTTGGTAAAAAGAAACCGTGAATAAAAACCGACTTGACACATTCATCTAAATATTTGGATGAGACTATTGTCGTAGAATTCCCTTGAGTATAGGCTGTCATATTAATAATAGTCGCTACTTTTTTCGCCGTCTTTTCGAAAATAATTTTAGATAATGTTCTTGTAGGCGAGTATCTCGGGATATTCACTTCACTTGACACTTCTACAGTATCATATTTTTCACATAACCTACTGCAGAAGCACAAGCAGTATTTATACTGTTTTGAACGTACAGATCGTGTGGTGAGTTTTATCCTTACTCCCGATCTATAAGAAAGAACAAGAATACCCTCTTTATAATCACAAAGGAATCAGTTTAACTAATATAGTGTCTAAAATATTAACCTCAATAATACTTCAACGTCTAACCTGAGAAAACCGAGCTGGTTTCAGACCCGGACGTGGTTGTATAGACCAAATATTCACCCTTCGGCACACAACCTCTGGTTGTGTTTCTTGACCTTAAGGTGGCGCTCGACTCCAGTGATCATGAGATCCTGTGGCAGTGTCTGTCATTAAAAGGCGTACCAAAGTACATTAACCATGTACAGGCCCTTTACTTGAACGCTACTGGTCGAGTCAGATCTTTTGGAGAACAGTCGTCGGACTTGGTTGCTGTAAGTGGTGTTCATCAGGGTTGTCCGCCCTATCTATTCTTCGTTAATATTGTCATATACATGATATAGAGATAACGCTTTATTTGTCTGACATTTTAGGACTTGACCTTTCACTAGAAGATTCACTTGTTGATTTAGAATACGTGGATCATGTAGTTTTGTTTGGTGAAGACGGTGACAAAATAGTTTTTTGACCACCTTAAGGAACAATGAAAATTTGTTTGGAATGTGATTGTCTCCTTCCACGTGCAAAATGGTGCTTTAGGATTGGATCACGTCGGCGTTTAAATGGATGATAGGGAGTGAAGTAGTTGGACGCATCGACTGCTTCACTTATCTGGATGGTCTCATCAATCCTGGCGGTCTAGTGTTTGACAAAATCTCGACGCGGGTTCAGAATTCTTGGTTTAGCAGTAGAATACTAGGTGAGGATGGCAAGTTTATTGATAGGCTGGTGAGTCTCCATCAACCGAGGTGTTTAGATATACGTAACACATTTCCCAACCACCGCTTACCTTAACGAGCGATGTTGTTCGGTATAGGCGTTGGATGGAAATAAACTAGGGACGGCCCAACCAAGACATGGCATCAGTTCATGAGGTCATCGACAGTCGACCTTGGTCATGCTTTTAGGTGTAAACTACCCGGTTGAGGTTCGCATGCTCAGTTTGTCTAGCAGTTAGAGACTTCAAATGACACGGTGCAGGTCCATCCATACTTTGTCTTCCTCCAAATTCTCAATTCATAATTTCTATGTTTTTCACTAATTTATAGTTTCTCGAAACGTGTGTTCGATACCTAATTTTCCTTATTACCACCGATACTGTTACTACCTATGCTATTGTGGGATTTGGTCTGATAATTTCATCTGTGTATGGCAACTTGAACCGATGTGCATACGTACCAGGTTCTGTGTTGTAACTGACTGAATGACTGGCTTACTTTGTCTTCATTCACCGTACAGATTCCTTCATTGAACTTTTTATCTGGATATCCAATTGTTTTTTAATGTTACTGGTCTACTGACTTGATTTACCTTTTCTATTCCACGAAAGAAGTTCTTCACTCTGCTTCGTGACACAATCACTCTAAAACTACGACTAACACACATTTTACTGGTGCTCAAGTACAATTTTATGTTATGCTGAATAAGCCCAGTTATTTCGGAATACTTTGCATGTGTTTATCTAGATGTCTCATGGCCTTTTGGTCCAAGATATTCAGCAAAATTACTTGACTATATCTACATTATAAGCTTTTAGTACTTAAAAATCCAACTGAAGTAATCTATGTATAGTGAGAAAACCCTACACCATTTGTTTGTGTCCCAACAGACTAACCTGTGGGTGTGATCCATAATAAATTCGTTTGCCGGACGTACAATCCCATTAAAGCATTTTGGATAGATGCCATAGTGCTAACTGATGAGTTACCTATTAGCGAGCATCTATTTACAAGGGAGAGGTTATTGTGGTCCCATTCGTGTTGATGATCTACGGATACATGTTTATACCTTTATTGAAAGTCAATAAAATAGGTAGATTTGTGTGTAAGTTGGTTTAGAAATACTAAGTCCAACCGTCGAAATTGTCATCACCAACCAATTACCCTTTGTACATAATTCTAATATAATTTGGGCAAGTAAATATATATTTTGATAATCATTGAATAATGATCTTCATTTTTTAGGCTTTTTCTCGAATGAGTTCTGTGATTAATATTATTCCCGTGGAGACTGATATTTAAAATTATGGATGGAAACCCTAGTACTCTTTCCATCTTATCAGATAAGGTAATGTATTATTGTTTTATTTAGTTGATGTTCACATTTCTCTATCTCATTTAAAAATATCGAATAGTCTCAAGACTGTCAACTTTTAACTTGTTTGGTTGCTATTTTATGTTCTACACGTTTTTCACTTTGCCTACTTTATTCTTTCACCTACTCACCATTTGATGCTTATATTAAGGACTAAGTTGTGTGGTTTTAAAATTCAGACTAAGGACTTTGCAGCTTCATTGTAAGAAGAACTAAACATATCTTAAATCAGAGGAAAATGAGTTCCTGACTTGTGAACTGTTAGTAAGCCATGTAGTCGTAGTGTGTCCAATCTGGTATGTTCAAAAAGTCATGAATGGCTTATTTGATTATCTTCTAGTTTATTTATTTATTTGAACACACAAACATTGGTACAAGGAGGCACCAAATACACATGCGCCACACAATAACAATGAGGCCAGTAGTAGTTATCATTGGTTTGACCACTCCGTGACCACCAACTCGATTAAAGCGCCGGCCCTTCGCTTTTCGTCCTCTCAATTTCGCAAACATCGCCCCCACCACCACGAGAAGGCAGTGAGTAGGACTTCTGTGTCAGTGGCTGTGTACGCGTGTCCATGTGATAGCATTTGGAGATGTAGAGCGAACTCTTCACTTTTGGCCATACCAGGGCACTTCGGGGCTGTTGTAAGCAGTAGTTGGAGACGTCGAATGAAATGCTTCATAATCGTTCGTAATAGTGCGGAGGTATTCGCTCTTTGTCTTCCCTTGGATTTTCGATCCCGAAATTTTCTTATGTGTTTTCTCCTTTTTGTATCCAATGAGTTCTACCACTATTGATATTGTAACTACTTCTACTCCTTTGGGTTGTCTTGATAATTTTATCTTGCTGCGCTAATGTGATGTGGCAGCTTGAGCTGACGCGCATGTATTAGATTCTGCGTCGCATATGACTGGCCAAACCTTTTTAAGGTTAACTAATCAATAGCTTTTCTAGCTTCCCATTTCAATCTTTCGGCGTTTTCTAAGGTTTTGCAAGGTACGTTAATAAAGAGTTCATCTCAGCATTGCATGTATGCCTAACTACCGCATACCTTGACGAATAGTTAATACCAGTTCATAAGTTGATTAAAAGTGGCGGCCTAACTAAAACGTAGCATCATTCCACGAAGTTATTGCCTATTGGTCTGAGCCATGTTAGTATATCCAGACTACCTGGTTGAGATCCACGTGATAACTGTGTTCAGTGGCTCGAAACTTTGGGTCACATTGCTCGGAATTGATCACAATGGCATATATTGACTTACTTTCGATCTTCTTCTCGATCTCAAATTTCAGTGTCTCTTCAAGCCATACTCCCAAGGTTTAGCTTTTCTTTTTATCATCCGTGGTACATTATTCCTATCTCTTTTGTTATTTTAATCCCTTTGTGCTAATCACGTGTGGAAACTTGGACCAGCGCTCATCTGTATCAGGGTCTATGTTGATGTCTGTCTGTCTATCATTTTACCAGTGTAATCTGTTTTGTCCATAAAAGATACCTGCTCTCATTTGCCAGGTTTACTTATAGTCAATGCGTTGTTGTATTTTCAAGTTAGTAAATTGTTTTGATGCTGTATCATTAGTGGACGTTTTATGTCAAGCTTACCAATTTCGTTCTATTTGATAGATACTAACTAATTCTTCCTACCATTTATTTGTTTCTATTCAATTCATTCCTTATCTCTAATGTGCTACATTCACACTTCAACTGATTACTCACAAATCCCTTGTTCGAGTTTCACTCGCTCACACCGTGAAACCTACTTCCTTACACCTGCTACTCAGAAAATAGGCTTGGATAAGTCCACATTGAATGCGACGTACCCTTTACTGTAGGTGGTCATCCGTTTTTGGTTTTCTAACTGGAAGTTTTGGTGTGGTCCGATGCAACCCCTATCGCTTTATGCATGCGTTTGTGGGGGAATATAATGTCACCTATAACTATTTTGCTTGAGGCACATAAATGTGCGAATTCCCTTGTGATTCTCGTTCCTTTCTCCCAGTCTATATCGCTCCATGATATCTTCCTACTCAGTGTTGTCCACTCCAGTTTTGGCGTTTAGGTCTCCCATCTGGACGGTCAGGTCCTATCCTGGACACTTCCCTACTATCGACTGTCATCTCTCATAAAACCGGTCTTCATCGTTTTCATTGCTATCATTGGTGGGTGCATAGCACTGGATCACATTCATTGTGCTCCCCTCCTTTATTTCGAAGGGTGTTCTGATGATTCTGGATTCGTGAGACTCCCGTCCTATGAGTACTTTTTGTGCTTCTTTGGACAGCATTAGTGCAACTCCTTGTATATGTGAAGCATATTCTTCTTCGTGACCAGAGTGCAACAGCATCTCTACCAAGTCTAATCTTACCTGTCCAACTTGCGTCAAATGGGTTTTGCTTATTCCGAACGCCGTCAAGTTATATCTCCTTATTTCCACAGCTATTTGATTGATCCCCCCCTTATTGTCCGGACATTCCGTGTATGTATATTAATTGTTGCTCTGGTTGTTAGAAGAGGAATCAGCGACATGACTTTCAAAGAATCTTGGCTTTCACCACGGGGCGTCATAATTCTGCTAAATGAAGATTCTTCAACTCCAAGGACAGAGTTTAAATGGTGTAAATTGTCTTTTCTGGTAAGGGTTTTTTGGCAAGGCTGTGAACTTTGTATTTTTAAGACTTTACTGATAACAACATAATTCTGTTTGGCAAGTTTATGTGTGCTATCTTTATGGTTACTCTTTTCGTTGTGCTAGCTAGGCAAACACCTTTCTGCTGTCACATTCTAGTAGAGTTGACAATACAGCTTGTTCCTCAGATGTTACGTTGATGTTTTTATTCTTAACAACTTCCACCTAACCTGCTTGATATAGTAAGTCCTAAAGTTACGACTATTGCACCTAATATTAGTGGATTGGTTCATCATGATATACAAGACCGACATAATTTGTTCCGAATATTTTCTTAAGAAATTTATTTCCTTAAATTTCAACGTACTTTTGCCAAACTATTTGTTAATGTTATTCTATATTTTTACTTTTTATTAATCATCATTAGTTGCATAATTCACTTAATTATAACGATTGATTGTATTCATATTCACCAGTACATTGTTTGTTAAGTGTTACTTCATACTGTAATATCCAAACAAGTGAAGTTCAGATGAAATATATACACCTAGTCTTCAATATTCCGTAATCTAAGCTGGTTGTAGACTGTCCTCTATAGCTTCTATTTGGATCTCACAAGTATTCTAAACTTTTCTTGCTTTCGGCTTCCTAAGATTCCTGACTGATGCAACTCCTATGCGACACTCCGCTGCATACTACTTATAAGGAATCTTGTGAGTAGTGTCTAGCACAATACACTAGTTGAAAAATTAATTTAATAATAAAACGAACCATGAGATAAACTAGAGATTACTATCTATTAAAAATATAAAAGATACAACTAAACAATGAATAATTATTTTCAGAATAGGGGTTTGTGTAAATTATAGTAATTTTAATAGTTGAATTCATGAGTTAATCTAATTTAGACCTTCATTGAAAACCAGGTTTTCAGTGGTGGCTTCCAGTCAGTCAACTACAACGTAAGACCCGGCATATATAGGCATCGGTTCAATTTGTAACAGTAGTGGTCCAGCTTAGATCCAACTATCAGAGTAATTATTTATTATGATCTTTTATTTTTCACAGAAGTAAATGAAGATCATTGTAGAATTTCATTTTTTCTCATTTCAAAATAAAACCCTTCAAAAAATAGTAATAATAGTGGTAGTAGTGTACGGACACTCAAGTGGAGAATACCAATCAATTATTTAATTCATAATCACCCAATAGTTTAGCAAAACGTGAAAACCATACATTTAATACATCATTTGCACATCTTCTTTGAATTGTCTCTTACAAGCTTCAGTATTCCTCTATTTCTGTTGTAATCTTTATTGTTTTCAATTTTCTTCCCTCTTCTTTTTATTCCAATTTTCTCAACCTTATGCTTGCAAATATTCGACTTCTGACTTTTGTTACATACTACTTATATCTGTGGGCATAAGTAGTACACACCACAATAGTAGTAATGAATATCAATTATTCAATCAAATGAATGAATTTTTTAGTACATAATATTTTAATGTAACAAATTACAAAGGATAAGATTACTTGTAATTTTAATTTGGGAAATAGAATAAAAAATTAAAGCGTAGAAAATAGTGGCGAGACTCTAATTTATGGATGGGCCAATCACAAGCGTTTTAGAGATTTCAGGGTTACGGCGCCAACTTCAGTGCTTAGTGCTAACGTACGATCGGTTCACAGGGAATTAGTATAAAAAAGAACACTAAGATCATTTACAATAAAATTGATGATATAAACCGGGTTTTCTTTGGAACACATAAAACAATCACTTTAACTCGATTCACACATAACATATATATGTTAGGTTAGTTTGTTCGATTCTACAATGAATCGTTTGTTGTAAAACTGGATTTCTTTGTAGTGAGGTTCTTTTTTACAAGGTTAGAGTAGTAGACGTACGTCCAATTCTCCTTCTTTGCTAAAAGTATCTCTGTAGAGGTTGTAGGCCTCAACTTACACATACGAAAAAGCAAGATCCTCAAATACAACACGGAAAACACCGACCTGATTAAATTTAATGGCGAGACTGTGGAAGATGTATAATCTTTCACGTACCTGTAAAGCATCATCGATAAAAAAGAAGAATCGGATGCAGACGTAACGGCGAGGATTAGCAAAGCAAGGGCTTCATTCCTTCGATTGAAGAACATATGTAATTCAAAACAACAGTCAACCAATATCAAAGTCAGAACCTTCAATACTAACGTCAAGACAGTCCTACTGTACGGAGCTGAAACTTGGAGAGCTACCACGACCATCATCAAGAAGGTGCAAGTATTTATAAATAGTTGTCTACGCAAGATACTCAATATCCGTTGGCCGGATATCATCAGCGACAGCCTTCTGTGGGAGAGAACAAACCAGCTTCCGGTTGACGAAGAAATTAGGAAAATACGTTGGAAGTGTGTAGGACATACATAACGCAAATCATAAAACTGCATCACGAGGCACGTGCTAACTTTTAATCCTGAAGGGAAACGGAAAAAAGGAAGGCCGAAGAACACACTACATCGGTAATCGGAAGCAGACATGAAAAGGATGAATAACAACTGGAAGGATCTGGGAACGATTGCCCAGGTCAGAGTTGGATGAAGAGTGCTGGTGGATGGCCTATGATCCTCCACGAGGAGTAACAAGCGTAAGTAAGTAATATTAGGTTGCAGATAAAGTTTTGTGGCAAAGTAAATTTCATTCTTTTACACGGAACCATTTAAGATAAATATCTTTTTTTTAACACTGAGAAATGATCCTAATTGAAAGACCTTTGTAATCAGCTTCAAAAAGACACCCTCTTAATTTAAAATATTTCATCAGGATTAGTTTACATTAACCATTAGGTTAATTATAGAAGGTGAATTAGGTGATTACAAGTTTCATCAGCTCTATGAAATTAGTGTCTAACAAAATCTTGTTATGCATTCATTAGCCTTGTTTATCTCAATATTTTATGTACGTAGAGATAGAGACAGAGTTTACACTCACTTTTCTATTTATTTCAACCGATGATTTTTTTTCTGTTTTGTCTTAATTCACTTATTATCTAGTATGTTTTCTTAAATCCAAATGAAGATCAATTCTTATGTATAAAAAATTATTTGGATATAGAATTAGATAATGGACAAGGTGAATGCTTTTTAGAATTAGGTATTGGAGGTAAGTTAGTTGTTGTTTAATCTATTTATTTATTTTGCGCCGCATAGACCATTCGATTTGTGTGAGGGCTGGGATACTGTCCGGGTGCCCGAATTGAAGCAGGTGGTTTTCTTAGGGGGCCACACCCGAAGCCTTCGACCTAAAAGTCTGATCCACATGGCAGTGGAGCATCGTAAGAAGATGCAATCCCATGGTATCCGGTGATTAACAATTGGTTCATACATCATTTGTTCGTTCAGGATCCTGTAACCCATGTGCACCATTGGTTTGAAATCAAAATTTTCCAACTCCCCTGGGTGGTTCCTCCGTCCCCACCAACCCGGTTAGGGCGCCGTCCATTCAGTTTTCGTCTTCTCAATTTCGTGAAAAACACCCTCACCGCAAGAAGGCACTGTGTAGGACTTCTCTGGCAGTAGTTTTATGCACGTGGCCATATGAGAGTATTTGAAGATGGAGAGCGGACTCTCTTTACTTTCGGCCGTACTAGGGCATTCGGGGGCTGTTTAATCAGTTAATATTTAATAATAAAAAATTTCTAAAATTTTAATTGTATTGTCTTATTGTATGGTTTTACATTTTCATGCAATAAATATGCTCAATTCATATCATTTGTCTATGATGAATATATTTTGTCTTTTTATATCCCAATGAGTAGAAAAAATTGTATTTCCGACGTTTCGTGACTTAATGTAAGCCACTTCTTCAAAGGGAATATACATAATTTATAATTTACAGAAATATCCTAAAATTATTGAAATCATCATTAAACCATATTATCTGATTCATTTACATGTAGATTAATTATTCAAAATCCGGTGATGTTTCTATTCTCTTATTTTAATTGGATAATCATCACCTGACCAATTCTATCTATCTATCATAATTGACATGATTTTAACTATTAATGTACACAAGAAGGGATGAAGGAAAAATGCAAGTGGAAAGAAGAGGAACTCATGAATGAAAATAATGATTACTTCTTTTTATCATAATAATCCAATATTAAATGGATGCATCGAAATTTTCTTATGAAAAAAAGACTAATCATTTAGATTATTGGTAAAATAAAGCATACTTAATTAGGTTATTGAAGTTAGCAATTAAGATACTCTGTTGAAAACCTCGGTTTTGTACTATTTTCCACTGGTTATTCAGAGGGTATCTGAAATCTTGACGAAACTGATCCACTGTGTGAGATCCGGCTTCACAGTTCGAGATGTTATGACTGAGTTATTCAAGCAGCGATTGATTTCCTGTAGGACTGAAATGTTTTCTGTTGAATGATCATAGTATTCCGATTGCCTACAACCATTGGACAACTTAACATAGTCACGAGATATCAAGTCACTTAGACTATTAGTTGCATTGCAGCTTGGTTGATAAAGTTTGATCAGCACTCAAGTTCTAGACAAATATAATATTACTCACAACTACTGACTGATCAATCAATATAACTGTTGATACTGTCTATCCAAACCGAACTAGATGTAGCGGGTTTTCAACTCGTAACTCATTGGTTAATATTCAGCTTTCTAAAATATTAAGCTACTGTTGCACAAATATTTGTTGAAATATTGCTTAATCATTTTGTTGCCCATTAACTACCATTTAGATGGACAATGCCCTGGACTCACTCCACAAGAAATGAATCAATCTGTATGTACAGCTGAACGTCTTGCCGATTCTTTATCATCACATTTAATTCATTTGAGGGATCGTTGGATAACAGCTGGATCACAATCTTCAGCAACGACGACAACACAGTCAGGGTCAGGTGTGGATACAACAACAAAACCATCCAGTGCTGAAAATAGTCACAGCAGTCCACATCGGCATACTTTAAGTAGTTCGTCTGGAGAAGGCAAAACAAAAGGAAATTCAGTGAACATAGATGATGGGAGTCAATCAAAACAAAGCAGTAATTCGACTGATGATAATAAGGGACTGTCTAGTCAAAATATATCAGAAACAAATGCAACTGATACTACTAGTACTATTAGTAGTAGTAGCAATAGTAGTTCGGCGACAACGGGTTGTTTAGTTAAAGAATATCTTCTTCGACGGAAAACTGCTTCAGATGATTTTGTAGATGTTCGGTACGTTTCTTTTTCGCCAAATATTACTTTCTCTCCTCTCTCTCATTATTATTAAGTGTTTTATTTTCGTATTCAGAAAACGCTATGTTGAGAAAGTCAAACAATGTACATTAATCAGTCATACTCAACGCAGAACATGATAAACCTGTATATGGGTTGAAGTTATCATACCACTAGCTCATCGAGATAGAATTATTTCAAGATAATTCCCAGAGCAGTAGAACTACTCACAGTATCAGCAGTAGTATAAAAGATTAGGTATAGAAAAAGGTGCAAGGATATTTTAAAACTCATGTTCTATGAAAAGATCAAGAGTGAGTGCGCCTATACCGTTGCGAACAATGCAGAACCGTGTTACTCAATGCTTCTAACCGTTGGTTACGATAATCATGCAGAATCCAACCAGGTAGTCTACACTTATTGAAGTGACTCGGTCCAGTTGTTAGTGACTCCATAGACTGATGTCACGTCTTAGTTTTGCCGCTCCTGGTTATCTCCCAGCCTACTCATAACATCAGACAACATCTCCCATCAAAGTAGTTGATGATTAAGCGTATGTATATTTGTACCTAGTGAGACTATTTTATATCACTATATTTCCTATTTATTTAATACATACCTTATCTGGTTACAATTGGACACTGAGAGCGAAAGTATGCGCTACACATATAAAGAGATAACAATATGACGAGATCAAAAAGGCTAATGGGTGTACAGTCTATATATATATATATATATATATATATATATATATATATATATATATATATATATAGTAGAACGGAACGAACTGCTTCGCAGTAAACTCGTCCTTTGATTGGTAGACCGGTATCTCGCCTACTCTATAAATGATGCAAGTTGACAAAAGCTAGTCGATCCTTCTGTATCCGTGCTGAGATTTCTTCACACACCAGACCACAAAGGCTGATGAAACTCCTAAGATAAGTGAAGCGGTCGACACGCTCATCTACTTCACTCCCTATCATTAGTTTGGGTGTTGATGCAACCCAATCCTGAAGCAACATTTTGCATTTCGAGGGAGAGAATCGGATCCCAAACATGCCTGCATTGTTGCTTATAGTGGTAAGAAGACTGCATTCTGCCAGGGATGGGCATCACTTACATGGCTGCCTAACTGTTTTTCTGATTGTTCCTGAAATATACTCTTAGCTCGACTATCATTAAGTAGGACCCTAAGGGGTTTCCTTGCATCATCTTTCCTACGTCCAGTAAGACGCATACAAATACGCGCTCGCACTACAGCATGATCTGATCCCAAGCATGTGCTCCAGAATAAGCGACAGTTCTCTATCGAGCTCCTTCATCTGTAGCTGATAGCGATGTGATCTTTTTGGGTCCAATGTTGGAACGAATTCGGGAGTCGCCATGTCAAAAGATGTTTTTCCTTATACTTTAAGTTGGTATTTGTTGGAAACAGGTGGTTATCTGAGCATAGCTACAATAGATGGTCGCCATTATCTGTTCTTTGAGACACGACACCATAAGATCCACCCAGGTGTCTTTCCTTTTCTCTTAGTTTACCTACTTGAGCATTAAAGGCACCAGCCACTATTACTACATCAGAGCGCCTAGCTTTTATGAGAAGGTCGAAAAGATTTCTGTAAAATTCATCTTTTACATCGTCTGAGCTGCAGTCAGTGGGAGAGTAGGCAGAGACGACGAAGAGGCAACGACGAGTGGCCCTATCTTTCCGAGTCCTTAGTGTTCCTTTTAGTTGGACAGCGCACGAACAACTGTCTAATGGGATCCAGTCTAAGAGAGCTAGTTCTACCCTAGGACTCAATGCTATTTCTACACCAGCGAGGCCACGAGAAGCAGCATCAGGGCTTCCAGATACACAAAGCTATTTCTTTGAACATATAAATATTGATACAAAGGGTCAATGAATACATATGCGCCACACAAGTCATTTGATTTGTATGTGGGGTGTGATGCTGCCCGGGTGCCCAGACCGAAACAGGTGGTTTTCTTAGGGGGTCACTCTCCGAGCCTTTAAGCTAGAGGTCTAATCCACATGACAGTGGAGTAACGTTATGAGATGTAGTTCTATGGTATCCGGCGACCAACGATTGGTTCACACGCTATTTGTTCGTTCAGGATCCTAGAGCCTATGTACACCATTGGTTTGGAACCAGGGTTTTCCAACTCCCCTAAGTGGCTCCTCCGTGCCCATTAACCTGATTAAAGCGCCAGACATTCGCTTTTCTTCCTCTTAACTTCATGAGCAACATCCCCGCCACGAAAAGGCAGTGAGTAGGACTTCCCTGGCAGTAGTTGTGTACGCATTAAATGTTTTTTTTTTATATTGTAATTTAACGTTATTTAACAGTGTTTATTTTGTTAAACAATATCCCTTAATGGTTATATTGTTCACGGGTTGTCATCTGCTATTCATTCACTCCAGTCAGATAATAAAATATTAAGATATTGAGAGGAAATATCCTATTTTTTGTGTCATTCATGTTGATCAGTGCAATCCAGTTATTCTTTATTATCAACGAATTCTGTCTTATCATTACTGTTGATAGAACGTTTTATTTCTATATATCAGCTTGAACTGATGTACATATGTACCCAGATTCTACGCTGCTATTAGCTACTGATGTTTCATTATCAAACTAGATTTCCTTATCAGTAAATTTTTAAGATTTTACAGTACTAAGAAATTTTCTAAAATATTTAAATAACCAGCTTATCTTAACTTTAGGTCATATTGGAATTCAGTATAAACAGCCATTTTTACAAGTTTATACGTAAAGACTTTTAATGCTCAAACTTTAGGATTTCATATTGTTCCTCAAATAACGCTCAGTTTTCTCCTCTACATCTATGGGACACTGATTTGCCCTAGACGAATATCTACACTAAATACCATACCAGTGTTTGTCCTACAGGACATCAACATAATTGGTATCAAGAACACATGACTGATCCGACTATACCGTGAATACATTTTAATGTCAATAACAATAATAACAAAGGGTAGGCAAATACATAACTTATCTAATACCTATCAGACTATCTACTAGTCTGACTACGTAAACAACCAGTCGCTATTTTCTTCATCTCCTTACATCAGTTCCATATGGTAGTTTGAAGGATTTAAATAGTATTTTGTTACAATTATTATTTATTCATTCGTCAATCAGATACATATCCGTCTACTTAGCTTTTTAGTCACACTCTAAATGTAAAAAGGCTGATGATATCATTAATATCCAGTTGCCTAAACCAAAGTAAATGAAACAGGGTTTGAATGTGCATATTAGTTGTTAAAAGTCGAACACCTTAAATACCACTGTGCATATTGAGCTTAGTGCATAATGACTATGTTTATTGATGTATGGTTAATAAGTTGAATCAATTTATTGACTTCTTGTAAATAGTTTAACCTTATAAATATTCTTATCTATTTACATTTTATTCACTATCCTTGTGGCTTTGTTCAATCTAATATTTAATTTTGTCTTCCATATATCATAGTGTGGCAGTTGTAGGAAATGTGGATGCAGGCAAATCTACTTTACTTGGTGTACTGACTCATGGTGAATTGGACAATGGTCGTGGTTTAGCTCGTTTACGTTTATTACGTCATAAACATGAAGCGGAATCTGGACGTACTAGTTCAGTGGCACATGATATATTGGGTTTTAGTTCACTTGGTCAAGTAGTCAATAAACCTGTACATGGTCATTTGAATTGGTCTGAAATTTGTGAAGCTTCAGCCAAAGTAAATTTTATTTTGTACTACTCTCTGTATTTGGATTATTCGTTTTTAAATGTGCTTTGAAAATTGTTTTCGATAATTCGGGTAATCCTCTTTTTCCTCTCTTACACACACATGTTACTTGACTTTTCTGTAATTGTCTTTATAAAGACAGTAATACACAAATTTCTTTTCTGTTGTGTAATTCTCCCGAAATTCGGTTTCGTACTTAATGATTATTTAATTCATCTAGTGTATTCTGAAGGAATAATCTTGTTTTTTATGTTTTCTCTCATCTTACACAAATGCCTCCACAGAATTGCTTTGTGTCAAAGTTTGTAGTTTAACGATAAAGCCTCAATACTTATATATATATATATCTGTGGATTTTTATCAGCCTTGTGGGTTTGGTGATATATACGCCTTCAAAAATATCGACCTCAAAAACCAAGAAGCAGATTATTTTACTATTTGTGAGAAATATCTCAGCAGCCATCACGAAGATCTTGAAGCCCTTTTAAATCAAAGGTGTTCACAAACTAATTTAGTCACTTCATTCCATTTCGTGCAAACCAAAGAATAGTAATGAATAAGGACAAATGCAACACCATTTATCGAATAATTTGTACATTACCTACGTATAAATGAGCTTAGATTAACAGTGAGGCGATATGATATGCTATTACTGAGATCAATGCATACAGATAACCATGGATACGAATATGATTGAAAAGGCATCGAAATTTCAAATTCTTAAACTCCAAGGGTGTCAGGGAATTTCTGGAAATATAGCATTCAGAACACTTGAAAATCAACGGACACATCAACATGAAGCCAATGTATATGGAAGAGATCGACCAACAAAGATAGTCAATGTTCATTTCATCAGTTTGCAGTTCACAAGTGACAACTCGACCCTGCAACTGGCATACAAATAAGTAGCACAGTAGCCATTTAGTTTCGTTTAAAAGATTTTCTTCACCCTTCATCATAGTTCCACAGATCAATTAATCTGGTCATATGGATGAATTTTTATATATTCATCTAGTCATCATATGCATTCTGGGGCTCTATTCTGTTCACCTTATAAATGAGGTTAAATAAACATCAGGTGTTACTATGCCGATACATGATATAACTGTTTAAGGACTATAAGTATTTGTAAATATCTCGGTTCATATCTGTAGCTCAAAACTGTAAGTAATATAACAGTGAATATCAGCGTTGGTGATAAAGTTCCACTCATTATTCAACTGCTTCGTTTTAATTTTCATTGTTGTATCTTTTTACGTATTGTGTCCAATTGGTGCCAATTCCTTATTTAATTGTATTGTAATTCTATTGTAATGCAAGTTTTTAATAATGAATACGTTTTTTTAGAAAGGTAAGTTCTCAAAACGATCAACTGTTTGCAGATCGGTAGACAATGTACAGTTAATACAAACTGGATGATCAATTGACACAAATCCTAGAATAAACTAGTATTAAAAATGTAAGACGACTGATCAGTTGAATAAATTTCTGTCTAGAAAGTTATTATCATCTCAATACCTACAAAGTCGCATGCAAAGTTCGAACTAACATCTGATAACTCCATAAAATTATGCATCACATCATTATTGAACCACATCAGTACTTTTCTACCATCTTAAACGTAATGCAGTTAAGATACATTGATTTACAAATCCGATCAAGTCGGTGATCTCAATTTCTGCTAAGGATATGTTGGTGGTTGTCGCTTCCTAGTTGTCCACACCATAAGAACATACTTCTCTTTGGGATACTTAAAAGAAAAACTGGATTAGGGATAGTTTTGATAACCTGAAGGTATGACAGCATAGCTCTAGGGGCTGGTTGTATGGCTTTTTTGCAAGCAGTAGTTGACGTCTTAACCTCGTGGTTTAAAAGTCTTATCATCAGTGATGAAGTTTCGTCGGGCAAGGTCAGGTGTACCTTTTTATTGTCGGCATCTCCTATCCCTCCAAAATAATCTGCCTGATATGGTAAAACCTAAAGGAACGACTATTCCATCCAATATGGGTAGTTCGGGTCATCATAATATACACCATCGATCACCGCGTCAAGGTAACGGCTACGGTCGAGCATCGTGTGATTTACATTTGTTTAATATTGATATTGAGGATACTCCGAAGTTCTGTTTGATTTGTAAATAATAGTCTATATAGATTGACCTCATTTATGCATAACATTAAAAGCCATTGAAAACTGGATAGCTGTTCCGTTCTAGTATTCAATTTTTCAAGAGCCTGTACTCTCCTAGAATAAAACAACCAGTAAACCCTGGTATCCTATTGTACTGGTAACAATAAATGATAATTGACACTTGTTTAGCAGCAGGTTAACGTTGTTCATTTTTCTTCGCCCCACTCTCGTTCGGTGCATTTTTTTTCTTATTTTTCTATCAATTAACTTAATATTATGTTTTTTATTACTCAGGTAATCACATTCATTGATTTAGCTGGTCATGAACGTTATTTAAAAACAACCATATTTGGTATGACTGGTCATGCACCAGATTATGTTATGTTTATGGTTGGTGCTAATGCTGGTGTTATTGGTATGGCTAAAGAACATTTAGGTCTGGCATTAGCTTTATGTGTGCCAGTATTTGTTGTAGTTACAAAAATTGATATGTGCCCACCAAATGTACTACATGAAACAATGAATTTGTTATTTCGTATATTAAAATCACCTGGTTGTCGAAAAATCCCAGCATTGATATCATCAACGTGAGTATTTTTTTTGTATATTTATAATTGTATCCATAAAAATGTACCTCGGACAATTGATTGATAGCTTAACGTCTACAAAGTTCAGCCCCATCTCATCCTTTATATTGATATATACAGGGAAATAGTATTACTAACCTTGATACAAAAAATAAAGTGTAAAACTTACATCTGAATAAAGAATCTTGTACTGATTAACTGGGTTATATTAATAGTACTAGTAATCATGATTACTGTGTAATAATGTTATCGCTCTTACTTAACTGAATTACATGCTTATCACAAGAAATGACCTTTCTTGAAACTTCAACTCAAAATTATATCTAAGTTATGAAGAAGAGAGTTATGATTCCCTAGTAATCCTGATGAACAACATTTGAAAACCATCCAATAATTATTTTTCTCAGTGAATATGCTGGAAATTAAAATTCACATTTGAAATGAACTAAAATTATATCACTTGCAAATGCCCTGGTATGACCGAGAGTGGGGAGAGTTCGCTCTCCCTCTCGAAATGCCACGTGTATATAGCCTCTGCCAGGGAAGTCCTACTCACTGCCTTCTCGTGGCGGGGGTGTTGTTTTCAAAATTGAGAGGACTCAAAGCGCGTGTCCGGCACTTTAACCGGGTTGATGGGTATGGAGGAGCCATCTAGAAGAGTTGGAAAATGATTCCGAGCCGTCATTCGAAGTCTCTAACCATTGGTTACAATAATTATACGGATCTCAGCGAGGTAGTCTCCACCTGCTTACATGGCTCAGTCCGACCGCCATCTCTACCTTGAATTGATGATCTGACTTATCTATTATTTGGAATAATTTTTTCTTTAGATTCTGCTATACTAGTCAGGTCTGTTGTAAAACAGTAAGATTAAAAACAACAAACTTATGCTCCGAGGACGAAGTCGTACTGCTGACTGTGCTGGGGTTGGACGACAGCAAAAAGGTCTCCCTTAGACAACTAGCATCTCCGTTGATGCTACCTCAGAACGGAAGGAAGGGTCTAGAAAAGGTTGACCTTAGAAATAAGGCATTTCATTTTACCCCACAAGTTTCCATCTCCAGTGGTAAAGCCTTTTTAAGCACGGAGATAACATAATAGAACTTCGTAAAAAGCTCATGTGTATTCGGTCTCTAGCGGTTGTTCATTGGGTCACGCTCCCAAGTCACTACGACCACTACTAGTTTCGTTTTCAATTCTCTAAAGAAGAAATATCCTTCTGCAGTGTAAGCGACCAGGTAGTGACAAACGCCCTCATATCTGTAACAGGACCAGAGACCTTATTGTTCAGTGTTTAGCTTGATTTATTTTTACTAAATAGTATTTCGAGAAATGGTAAATGGTTTATTCCATCTTACTTCTTTTAATATATTTCACCTTGTGATGAGTTTTTTATGTTTGTTTGTTTGTTTTGGTGTTTGACTATGAAAAGTTTGACAGTTTAATAATGAAGTAATCTAATAGTAGTACTATGCTATTTTCTATATATCTGTTCAACAAGCTGTTATAACTTGTGACCTGTGTGCCCTGTTAATGTATACGTAATGATACCGCCAATTCGAGGGCAGTGAATTATCGATCTGATCAATGACAACTAAAACCCGTGCGAGCAGTCTAGAGTACTTATCTGTCCTGCTTCTTGCCTAGCCCAGCCAGTTAAGTCCAGAACACCAATCTCAGCCTCTGCGATCTGAATCATTTATTTCAAGCATACTGCGTTTATATACCAACCAAACAGACCACATCGTACCATAAAATAGAAAATAAGAACAAATACAAGATCAAGTCAAAAGTGGCTTTGAATGTGACAGACTGTAATTAATAGACTGGGCATAACTCAAGAATGGTAAATCATATAATAATAGTTCATAGGTCAAAATAAAACTCATAATAGGAGGGAAATGAATATGTATAGTTTAGTTATTTAACAATTATATTATAAAAATATACGTGTAGTATAGTATTAAACCAGAAATAGATTCCAATAGTTACCATTCATTATTCTCGTCGGAAGTTCATAATTACCATTTTTCTCAATAACTGTATATCAGAAAGTGGTTTTTGTAGATATTATAATAATTTAATAGTTGAGATTATGAGTCAATTGAAGCTAGACCACCGTGTAAAACCTGTTGTGAGTTAGTCACTCACTGAAGAAAATGGTGAACATGTGGTTCAATTTCTTGAATTGGTTGAAGTTAGACATTAACACCGTTGAATACCTACCGGCTCAGTGGTCTAAAGGTTAAGTATTCACATGCAAGACCTATAAGCCCTGGGTTCGAGTCCCGAGGAGTGGGATCGTGGATGCTCACTATTGAAGAGTCCCTCCTCAGGTTTTCCATGATTGTCTAACTTCATTTGACTCATGATCTCAACTATTAAATTATATATTTATTTTGATTCTTTATTTCTTTCTTCTTTTTTTTCTTAACCGTTTTTATACAATTCCTTTTATAACAACAATAATTCATTTCAGGGATGATGTTATTTGTTGTGCAACAAATTTCACTTCAGAACGTATGTGTCCAATATTTCCAGTTTCAAATGTAAATGGTACAAATTTAGATTTATTAAAATTATTTCTTAATTTATTACCATCACGATCTGAGCCTCGTTTAAATGAATTAGCACATTTTCAAATTGATGAAATATTCTCTGTACAAGGTGTTGGTACAGTTATCTCTGGTACATGTTTATCTGGTATTATTAAATTAAATGATATTTTATTACTTGGTCCTGATTTATCTGGACAATTTAATCCAATTTCAATTAAAAGTATACAACGTAAACGTTTATCAGTGAATTATGTACGTGGTGGACAAACTGCATCATTTGCATTAAAAAAATTACGACGTAATCAAGTTCGTAAAGTAAGTAATAGAAATAGATTTAAATTATTGTAATGTATGTATGTTTGTTTATTTTCTCATTTGAGTTGTTAAATATATTTGGGGGGGGCGGAATGATATGATCCTCTTTCTCCTGGTGATCGACTGGATCATGAAGACGTCAACATCTGAGGCGAAGCATGGGATACAGTAGATAGCTAGGATGCAGTTGGACGATCTAGATTTCGCAGATGACCTGCCTCTTCTATCGCACACTCATCAACAAATGCAGAAGAAGACGACCAGTGTAGCAGCAGCCTCAGCAGCAGTAGGTCTCAACATACACAAAGGGAAAAGCAAGATTCTCCGATACAACACAGCATGCACCAATCGAACCACACTTGACAGAGAAGATTTGGAGGATGTAAAAACCCTTACATATCTGGGCAGCATCATTGATGAGCACGGTGGATTTGATGCAGATGTGAAGGTGTGGATCGGCAAAGCAAGAGTAGCATATCTAATACTGAAGAACATCTAGAACTCAAGATGACTTTCAACCAATATCAAGGTCAGGATTTTCAATACAAATGTCAAGACAGTTCTACTGTATGAGATGGAAATCTGGAGGACTAAGAAGGCCATCATCTAGAAGATACAAGTGTTTATTATCAGTTGTCTATGCAAAACACTTCGGATCCGTTGGCCAGACACTATCAGCAGCAACCTATTGTGGGAGAGAACAAACCAGATTCCAGTGGAGGAAGAAATGAAGAAGCGCTGGAAGTGGATAAGGCGTACATTGATGAAAGCACCGAACTGCGACACAAGACAAACTCTCACATGGAATCCTGAAGGCCAAATGAAAAGAGGAAGACCAAAGAACACATTACGCTGAGAAATGGAGATAGACATGAGAAAAATGTACAAGAATTGGACATAACTGGAAAGGAATGCCCAGGACAGAGTGGATTGGAGAATGGTGGTCGGCGGCCTATGTTCCATTGAGAGTCACAGGCGTAAGTAATTAAGTAAGCATGATCCGAGAAGAAAGAATGAACTAAAAGTGTGAGATAGTCTTAAAACAAAGAGTGAATGTATCTGTACTATTATGTTCGGTTTTGGTGTGTTTCATCCAACATCTCCAACCTTTAATTAAAATAATCACGCGGACCCCCTAATCAACTAGTCTACAACTAGATACAGGATTCATTCTTACAGTCAATAAATTTATGGATTGATGCTACATTTTAGTCTGGGTATCGCTAGTTTATTTCCAGCTTACTCTCATAATTAGTTAATGCCATCCGTTGAGGTTGATGGATGTTGACTATAAGTAATACATGTTTCAACCATCTCATCAAACAATTCTCTATCTTCACCTAGTACTCTGTGTCTAACCTGATTATTGCCCACTCGGAGATCCCAACATATATGACAAGTGTTTTGAGCATAAATACTGGCGATCTATGAATATTCTTTATTTTCAGAGTTCATTTCACGTCTATAAAGTGGAGCACAGTGAACTGTTGATCAATATATTCGTTCTTTAAGTTATCAAACTAACACCTTTCCTACCCTATAAGCGATGTAAGTTGAAAAAAGTCAATTGAGTTTTCTTAATCCTTGCTGAAATTCTATCAAATACCAACCCATCATGGCTGTTGATACTTCTAAGATGAGTAAAGTGATTGATACATTCAAATATTTTATCCCTTATCATTAGTTCAGGCTTTGACATAGATCAGTCCTTGAAGTAATACTTTACATTTAAAGGTAATATATTTGAATATATTTGTTATGACACATTTTAATAATAAATTGTAATTCCATTTTTTCCCCACTATTATTATTATTATTATTATTATTATTATTATTACTATAAAAGGGTATGGTATTGTTAGCGCCAGAATTGAAACCGAAAGCATGTATTGAATTTATTGCTGAAGTATTAATTTTACATCATCCTACAACTATATCAGTTGGTTATCAAGCTATGGTTCATGCAGGTCCTGTACGTCAAACTGCAACAATATTAAAATTAAATTCACATGAACGTTTAAGAACCGGTGATAAAGATATGGTTGTATTTCGTTTTATTAAATCTCCTGAATATTTATACACTGGTTTACGTTTAATATTTCGTGAAGGTAAAACAAAAGCTGTTGGTAAGTAAATTATCTAGTGGTGAAAAATTGTATTCATTTTGATATTATAATTATGTTGTCTCCTAGTATATCTGTAAACTACTCGGCAGTGTACGTCCACAATTGTATCAATGATTGAATCTGTGATCTTTTAGCTTCACAATAAGTATTTCATCTGTAAACCCACTGAGTGTTGGCATTGGTTTATCCATCTATTTAATTTTATATTACACTCTAGTTGTGCAAGGAATATTAATACTACCCAATTGATGAAAACACATTTTGTGGAATGGTGTTGGAATCTACGATATGCTAGTTGAAAGATAAGTGATTTAACCGTTAGGCCACCATTTTATTGAGTTGGCATCTAACAGCTTATATTTTATAATTTCAATTAATTCACTATATTACTTAGAAATACCATACTAGAACGAAACAGGTACTTCTTCATTTTAAACGGTTGTTTAACTTGAGTTAGCTAATGGACAGTCAGTCAGTCAGATACAACGTAGGACCAGGCACATATATGCATCGGTCCAAGTTGCCATACCTCATTAACACAACAAAATGGACACCGGATTCATATATACCATAATAAATAAAAGAAAGATTGCATATAAGGACATGGTACATGAAGAAAGAATTAGTTCGTAGAAAGAGAAATATGAGATAACTATAATCTCATAGTTTAAGGGAAGATAGAGAATGTATACACCTACGCCATTGTGATCGATTCTGAGCCATGTCACCAAGAGTCTCCAACCATTGGTTACCATAGTCACACGGACACCAACCACGTAGTCTGCATCTACCAAGATGAATAAGACTAGAAGTTAGTGACTTCAAGCACTGATGCCACGTTTTGGTTTGGCCACCCCTAACTTTCTTCCAACCATTTTCAACACTGGTTAGCATTGTACGTCGTGGCAAACGGTGTTCAGGAATACGTAACACGTGGCCCAACCATCTCAGTCGATGAAGATTCACAACCTCATCAACTGATTTATCATCATTCCCTATTACCCTGCATCTAACCTCACTATTACTTACCCGGTGATCTCAGCAGACGCCAGCAATATTTCTAATGGTGGAAAATGTATGTTAAATAAGTTTAGTGATAGTTACATTATACATATTTCCAAATTTGTGTTACATATGCTGTGAAAACTTCATTTACCTGCATCTAATTATTGGCTGAATTCTTCCCTCTGTAGTCCTTTTGGGTGTCAGTGGCTTAGAGTGGTTAGGTAATTTATTGCTGGTCATAAAAATGATTTGTAATTGACACGGGTAAAATACTTACCAGTGACTACTTTTGAAAGGTAATTTACGGAGTTTTTGTGAGAAGTTATGACTAGTGGAGTTTAACCATAGCTAATGCGAAATAGTTACTCATCGATTATATTGGAAGATGTTTTTGCAATATGATGAATTAGTTGAAGTCAGAAATTAGGTTAGTGTATGTCAAACCAGTAGGTTTTAGATTAAGCACTTATTAAAAGACTTACAGGTCCTAGGTGACGCTATGAATGTTTAGTACTGATAGAAGTTTCATACTTGGATGAAACAGCTTTACAGTTGTTTCTAGTTTTCAGTGTTTATCTAACTAAAGCCAATCGGTAGTGTAAACTGTAAAAAATATTAGATGTTCAACGATTACACTTTCTTTCTGAAGAGATGCTTACCGAATATTCTTTTCTCTCTCATATGAACATGTCTAATATTGTATGACTTTGTATTGAACCTTCTTATTACTCAACATGTTACATGTACTTACCATTATTATTATTTGGTTCTAGGTACTGTTAAGGAACTAGTTCCATATTCTGCTTCAATTCAACAAAATCCACGTGCTAAACTACTTAAAAGATATGTTACTAGTAAGACAAACCAACCGATGAATAATACTGGAACAGATGAGATAAAAACGTCAAGTAATACAACATCACTCCCTAAATCAGCCGAGTATACCAGTACTACTACTAATATTATTAGTCAACCAGATACTACTGAATTGCCTAATATTCCTGTTTCTGATTTATTAACTAGTAATAATCTTAATGCATCGGCTAATTCAAGACAACGTAAATATCATCATCATCGTACTCGTAAAGATATTACTGAATAAATGCGATAAAAAAAATTAACTCGAAGCGCTGCCACTTTGTCCAAATTGAAACGAATATTATTATTGACAAGTTTAATATTCATCTTTCAAATCAAAATACATTTCATTTGCTTCTGTGTGTTTTAAAACAATCATTTTTCACTTTTCCTAACGTTTTCATCGTTAATTAATCCATACATAGAAAGTATCTTATTCTTATTCCGTAACCAATTATTACCACTACCATATCCCACTCTTCTTTTTGTCTTTTTCTAAATTAACTACTTATATATGAAAAGAGTAGTTAGTTTATCTATGCTAATCTTTTGAAATACATTATATTATCATGTCGAATCTTTGTTGCATTGACCAAATATTCATTTAGGTTGGTTATTATTCACTACCTACTTTTCTTACTCAATACTTTGTAGGTTTACAGTTTTCTCTATTGTTTTTTTTCTTTCTTTTAATTCTCATTGCGAAACACATGTTTTGTCACGTGATAAGTACTATTTTTTTATACCGTGCACTGCCTTTGCAGAAAAAATTACTACACGTTATTCCTATTGATCCAATGTGATCATCAATCACTGTGTGTTTATTTTCATGACTTTTCACCCCTGCATCACTTTTAAACCTTGTTTTATTTTTCTTAAAAAGAAATAAGGGATTATCTTGTTGTATTTTCACCTTTTATTGTTTCTGTGTACATATGTAAAGAATTGAAAAGTTCTTGCATAAATATATTTAATGCAATTCATATGTATTCATTACTAAGTTCCACTCAAAATGAATCTTGTTCATAGTCTGACAGAAGACACTTGACAATATTTTCATATCGTATTTGTGACTTATCAGCAATGCATACTCATCATTTTATACGAGACTAAGTAGAGCAACTTTAGGTCTGTTGGTAACCACTTTACTATACCATTAAGTTACTGACTCAATATCCAATCATTCAGAATTATAGTTTGTCATATAAGGTCATTTTCATCCGATTTCACTGGGTATATGTCTCGTTTTCGACATAGTCAAACTAGATCAGTTATAACGACCTCTCACTGGGACGTCAGAAGTTCATTACAAAGTTATTCAATAGTTAGTGCACAATTATGGTTGATTATTTAAATGTGGGTTCGTGAAGTTTGTTCACTGTACCCAATCCATAATGTCTATTAACGTTTCCATTTATTTTTTTTTGTAAATCCTACTCAATATAATAAGTTCGCTTGAAAGAAGAAAATTAATTGCGCTAAGATGATTCATTATTATTGTCTGGTCGAAGAGATTTTGTACGTTGTATTCGTCACAGATTGATCTCAGTTAAGGTACAATTGGTGGATAACCAGGGAATACTAGTCATATGTTTCATTCCAGTATGACACCCCTCAACAGGGCTTACCCACAGCTTTTCATTCAGTACACTAGAAAAAAATAGATGAACGGTCGTGACTGAATTTTATTATTGTTTTCAACTAAGAACAGCAATAATTATGTCTAAGAACTTGACATATCGATTCGTGTATAATAATACTCTAGGTGTAGTTTATATAAATATCCATATGAATAGCTTTATTCTGTGTAATATACACATTTTTCTTTCGAATTTAAGCCTCACAATGGTTTTTTTTCAGTAAGTACAAAATATCTTTCCACGAGAAATGACAATGTGAACGATCCTTAAGACCTAAAACAGTAACATCACATCAGTCTATCAATGAACAGACCTGGCAAATGTTCCACAATGATTGCAACTGCTGGTAATGCTCAAATCTTCATCATTACACAAACTCAAAAGTTCCCACTAACAGATTGATACAATATCCTCAATGATAAAAATCTATATAAATAGTATATCAAATACACTGATATCGAAAAAAAAGTATTATTGTGGTGTTCAGAAGGTCATTCTTAAATGAAGTTTTGTTAGATAATGAATTTTGTTCTTTAAACTAAATTGCACTGAGTACCACTAAGTCACAAGTAATTCGAACATATACCAAAAGAGAATGATCAGTCAAAATCCCAAACATCAATAGGGTTTGAACATATAAATATTGGTACAAAAGAGTACCGAATACATATGCGCCACAAAAGTCACTTGATTTATGTATGGGCAGTGATACTGACCGAGTGATCAGACTGAAACAGGTGGTTTTCTGAGGGAGCCACACCCGGAGCATTCAACCTAAAGGTCTGATTTACAAGACAGTGGAGAAACGTCAGGAGATGCAGTCTCTGGGTGATATAGCTCAGAATCGATCATAGTGGCGTAGGTGTATACACTCTTTGTCCTCCCTTAAACCGTGAGATTAAAGTCGCTTTATATATTTCTTTCTACGAACTAATCTTTTCTTCCTGTATTATATTCCTATACATAATCTTTTATATATTACTACTATTGGAGTAACTGCTTCTATGAATTCGATGTTCATCTTGTTGTGCAAATAAGGTGTGGCAACTTAGATCGATGCATATATGTACCTGGTCCTACGTTGTAGCTGATTGACTGACTGCAGTCCCATGGTAACCGATGACCAATAATTAGTTCACACGCCATTTGTTCCCTCAGGATCCTGGAGCTCATGTGCAGCATTAGTTTGGAATCATGGTTTTCCAACTAGACTAGATGGATCCTCCATATCTATTAACCCGGTTAAAGCGCTGGACATTCGCTTTTCGTCCTGTCAAATTTCGTAAACAACACCCCAACCGTGAGTAGGACTTCTGTGTCAATGGCTGTCCATGCGAGAGAGCATTTGGAAATGGAGAGTTGATTCTCCTTAATCTCGGTCATACCAGGGCATTTGTATTTATTCTATAAATTGTTTTTCTTCTCTATTTTCAAAACTTTATTTATTCTCTTGTCAATTAGAGAAGAAAAGATCACTCGATTATTTTGGAAAATCGCTGTTGTTGTTGTTGGTGTTGTGTTTGTTTTATTTCATTGTTCACTATTGACTGTCATATTTTTATTCTACCTCTGTCACTATACAAATTTTAAAGAATTAAAAAAGAAAAAAAAATCAATAAATTCTGTTATTTTACATATGTTTTCATTTGTACTGTTTATTGTCTTATTAAAGTCCTTTTTTTTGTGAAATTTGATCACTTACGTTTTATTTTTGTGTTAATAGTGTTTCTGTTTATATGTTGTATAGAAAATCATTATCTGTTAGTAGTATATATGTGTTTTGGAAGGTAAAAACCCAACTCATACCTTCTCTTCGTATCTATTGGATAGTGGGACTCAATTCAATGAAGTAAAGTGAGTGGTTGAAATCGAGCTAATCATCCATTCGATTGTTACCCACAAATGATTATGAATACTACAAAGGAAAATAGCACAACTATTACTGGACCAAAAATGACAAAACAAATATATGTAAAAACAGCTATTGAGCCTTGGTAGTTGTGCCATGCTTCAATATGGCTACTTCTTCGGAAGGGTCTGCTAAACTTCACCAATTAGTTTGGTTGGAAAGAGGCTGGGTGGTGTATACGTATTTGATCCGTTTAGTTTGATTTGTAATGCGTTATTTATTATGTATTTCTCGAATTGATTAAAATTGAATGAATGATCTAATAGTCAAAAGGTTGATGTGGTACCTGTAATTTCTTGGTTTGATTCTTGGTGAAATCGTAATTCAGTATTCCTTACTAGTCCTATAACATAACGAAACAACTGTCCAATGTTCTTTAGTGTTCAATGATACCTAAATTAATATTAATACACGACGAATACTGCACAATTAATTAGTTCACTGTAAAAATAAGTTTAGCATAGAGTTTTTTTCTTGACACATGATGAAGCTGTATCATACAACAGAAACTGTTCAACGCTAGAAATGACTCGTAAATCTATAAATTATTGAAAATATAATCTGTACATTGATCTATCGTAATACAGACAACTTTTGTTTCAGTTTGGAAAGAACAGGAGGTTAGATGGCTTGTTAGTCCTGGCAATGGTAGTCTCTCAGTTGGTCCAACTTTATTTTCAAAGTATCGACAGATGGAACTTCAATCATGTGTTGAAGTAAGGGATTCCATTCGTTGATGATTCGATGGGAAAGTCGATAATCAGTTGACAAGTGATTTGTTCTAGGCTTTCGAACATTTTTAGTGTACACATAAATTTTCTGTTTTGGAAGACAAGGAAAATGTGGTCATATGAGGTGCAGATTTATCACTAAGTAATTTGAAAAGTGGGCCTTCTTTTCTCCTCAGAAGAAGAAGACCAAAGAACACATTACGCTGGGAAATGGAGATAGACATGAGAAAAATGAATAAGAATTGGATGGAACTAGAAAAGAAGGCCCAGGATAGAGTGGGTTGGAGAATGCTGTTCTGCGGCCTATGCTCCATTAGGAGTAACAGGCGTAAGTAAATAATTTGAAAACTGTGATCAAGTCGCATCTGATTCTTCTATATGACGATGGAAATAGTTCGAGTTTAGCTTCTCGAGCATCATACTGGAGCTTTGCTATTTCGGGAGTCAGTTTAGTTGTGGTTCTCTGAAATTTTCACAAAAGCTCGCGGTCTTTTTTTAGGCAGGGGCTAGCCGCTTGTATTCAGTACTCACACGAACACTGTGCAATGTAAAAAATATTTTAACATCGACATGACTAAAGGCCCTACGTATTGACCATAAGGTTCTAAGACTTTCTGAGGTTATTGCACGGCAGTGTGCAGTAGTCTTTAAGTCGTGGCTAACGATGAGTCCTAAGTCATTGTGTGTCTGGACAACATGTAGCTCAGTGTTATTCACCGTGTATGTATCTGTACCGTGGTAATCTGTATGGATCATAATACAGTTGGAAGCATTCATCGGCAACTACCAGGTTTAAGACCATTCAGATAATTTCTCCAGATCCTTTAGGAGTTCTAAGCTATCACCTTTACTTCGTATCGCTCTCTATATTTTGACATCGTCAGTATATAGCAACACAGATGATGATAGTAGACGAAGAAGGTCATTTACATACAAAGAGGAATAACACTATTCCTAAAGCTTTACTCTGAGACATTCCGCTAAGCACAGTTTCCCAGCTAGACAACTTTGAGTTACAGACACTTATTCATTCTAAAGGAAATTCTAATATATCTTAAAGATATTTAACAACTTATGAAAGCTTATATTAATTATTTCTAATCGTTTTCAAGATTTTTATACATAAAAATCCCGATAGATTGATGAAACAACTTTCTCAGATTAGCTCAAGCGACTTCTTTGACGTTTTTCTTTTTGTTTTCAAATCTGTTTATACGTGACGTAAGTCTCCGTTATTCAAGACGTTGACAATGATACATTCTAATTGTTAGTCTATTTCAAACACAACAAAAAAGAGTGAGTTTTTTTCTATAGAAAGTTATACTTTGGATAAAATCTACATTGTAAGAAGCAACTATTTCGAGGTTACTCTTGGTACAGGTACCTACTTACTTACTTAAGCCTGTTAATCCCAATGGGGCATTGGCCGCTGACCAGCATTCTCCAATCCACTCTGTCCTGGGCGTTCCTTCCCAGTTCTGTTCAATTTTTGTTCATTTTTCTGATGTCTTTCTCCATTTCTCGGAGTAGTGTTGTTTGGTCTTCCTCTTTTCATTGGCCTTCAGAATTTCGAGTGAGGGCTTGCCTTGTGACGTAGTTGGATGAAAACCTAGACTTGACATTTATCCCTACAGCAAAATACATTGTTGCATCTCATGAGTACTAAATTAAAGATAACTATGGTAGATGGATATCAGTTGTT